GCTGCCGGGTGTGGCTCACGCGCCTGCCCACTACGACAGGACCGGAAGAGGTGTGCCACTTCACACGACAGCACAGAGCCGGGTGTGGCTTTCCCTCCGCCAGATGTCCCCAACAGCAGCCTGGTCATCTTGGGTGCCAGGTGACACATGCAGACTCTCCGCTACCCACAACGGATGCGCGGGATGAATGACCTTGGGCTACCCCCCTCACCTGGGGACCGTGCTACAGCGAGGAATGGCACACCCTTCCTCGACCCGGTCAACCGCAGACACCATGCCTGCCACTCGGGCGACGGGTCTCACCACTCCCTCCCCCGGACTGCTCCAGTGACAGTCCATCGCTCCTCAGCAATGTGCTGCCACATGCCCTCCCATTGTCCCCAGCCGCCACCGACCTCCACCCACATCCCTGCTGGTGTCTCAGCCTTCCTACGGCCTGCTACCAGTCCTGCACGGCCCGCCATCTGCCTTCCTAGCCTCTCACTACCCCCCTTCATACTTACTCGTGCTCACCTCCTGAACAACCTGACGCTCTTGCCTCTGCCAGTGTTCCCACTAGAGGGAACACGCTTCCTGGCTTTGGACTTGGCCTGATACCCAGACCCAACCTCTGTGCCACAAATCACCCCAAACTCCGTACTTACCCTATGACACCTGTTTAACAGGAAATATGTAGCATGACAGTGTTCTCCCAAGACAGGCCCCCAAGGTCCAGCACACAGCATGAAAGAGCAGAGGGAAGGGACACGTGATCACCTCTGCCTTCGATGGGCCACTGGCAGGAACAGAGGCCTGGTCACTGGATGCCTGGCACAGGTTCTGCCAGGTGTCTGATGCAAGTTCTGATGCGTAGAACGCTGGTGGGGACTCTGGAGGGACACGTCTGCAATGGCGCTCACCTGGGAGGCCACACCTCGCAGTCTGACCCTGCTGGACTGTGTATCAGAGAATGATGGCTGCTGGAACAAACTTCAAAGTCTTTTAGTACGGTTTTTGAAAGTCTACGAATATAATTTTCAGCTACAGAGAAAACCTTTAAGTATGTAATGAAATGTCCAAGGTTTCCAGACTTACAAACCTAAGTACATTCTGCTCCTACTCACCCTCATGGCCAAGTAGCCTCATTAATATTTCAGTAACATGCCGGCACGGTGGCTCACACCTATAGTCCCAGCACTTTGGGAGGCCAAGGTGAGCCTGCTGGTTCAAGACCAGGCTGGACAACTTGGAAAGACCTCGTCTCTACAATAAAAAAAAAATAAACTAGGCATGGGAGCGCATGCCTGTAGTTGCAGCTACTTGGAAGGCTGAGGCTGAGGAATCACCCAAGACCAGCAGGCCAAGGTTGCAGGGGCTGCGAGCGTGTTATTGAATTCCTGTCTGGGTGACAGACTGAGACTCCTACTTAAAAAAAATATGTTTTTCGATGACATGTAAAAAGCAGTGAGCTTATTTTGCTTGTGCCATTTGACTCTAGTATGAGTAATTATGGCTCGAAAGCTCATTCAATGTTCTTGTTTCAACAGGCCATCTGTGTGGTGGGTTTTCTGCCATTTGGCCTACCACCGTTATTAGATAGTCCCACACATGGCTATCAAGACTCACACAAAAGCATCTTATTGCTGCCAACCACTAACTAATCCTTGACAAATAGCAAAAACCTGCTATGGTCAGCTTAGCTTAAACAGTTTTCAAATTTGGAATTTTACAAAACATCACTATTTTGCATGTCTTCAAATATCATAGCTAAATAGGAAATCACCCACATTGGGAAACGAGTCATTATTTCAAGACAAATGGACAAACTGTTCTCATGAAGGAAACATACGTTAATCATTCTGAAAATCTACCGACACACTCTTCTTTAGAGTTCAAGTAAGATCCACTAGCTGATCATGGCTACTGCCCAGCCTGCATGCAGACCATCGGTTTCAAAGCCCTCAAACTGCCTCATACTCCAGCAGCCCCTTGGCATCTGTGTTTCTACAAAGTATGCAGAAAGCAGTTATAGTCAGAGAAAAAAATAGGTTAGGGACTTTACTAACCAGTAGTTAAACTCAATGGAGGTAACATTATGTAGAGCAGAAACCTACTACTTATGCTAAATCGTGACAGTTCTAATTGGTAGCAGAGGTATTTAATGGGTGGATATAGTACTTGAAATTAGGAAAATGAAAAACTGACACTTGATGTCTGAAAACTTGTCTATGTAAACGAGAGATGTTTTTCTCTTCTCCAAAGAAATACCTATGGAGAATCTCAGTTATTTTTAGCGGCTAGAGACAAGAAAAATAAGAGATGGTCATTTTCCACCGGGATAATCCCCTCTTCCCCCCGTCCCTTGAGGGGCGGGCTGACAATATCTGAAGACAATGTTGGTTGTCACAACCAGGGATTCTAGTAGGGAGAATACAAAGATGTTGCTGAATCCTAAAATGTGTGTGAAAGCCCCCAATGGCAAAAGATCTCCAGTGTGCTAAGATAAAAATTTTTTTAAAAAAATTTTGATCCAAAAGAGTGGACATTAATTTTTCTACTAAAGCACAAATTCTAGAGGAAACGGTGAATTTTATTTCTAGAATAAGGAACCAGGAATTGATTTCCAGACTTCGAAGAAGCCTGACTTAGTTCACGTATGGTAATGACCGCGAGCAAATACACATTTGTGAGTCTTCAGAAAACACGCTGGGATCGCAGCGAGTGAGTATAGCACACACTTGGTCGCCTTTACCTATGTGAGCAGTTGGGCTTTTATCTAGTTTAAAACGGAAGTATCTGTGAAGCAAGTAAAGCAGCCTTTTGGAGTAATAGGGTTATTACAGACTATTACAATACAGGGCTACCACGGTGTCATACAATTAACCAGTCTTAAAGTACAATTCTCTAATGGGTGTTTTTGTGAATGCATTTCTTTTATTTTTTTTAGTGATGAGGTCTTGCCAAGTTGCCCAGGCTGGTCTTGACCCGCAGGCTCAGGCCATCCACTCGCCTCGGCCTCCTGAAGTGCTGGGATGACAGGCTGAGCCACCGAGCCCAGCCTGTGAGTGCATTTCAGAGCAAGACTCACTCAACAGGCACCACACATTAGTTACCAACAACAGCTAAGTACACTAATTCCAAGACTCCCTCATCTAGAAATAATTTTATTTCAAATAATGTAAGCTTTTTCTAAGACCTCAGAAAAATTGCCAGAATCACCACGGATACTCTTGAGATCAAATTAAAACAGTAGCAAGAGGCTGAGGCACAGAGACTCCAAAAGCAGAAACCCCTGTTCTGAAACCGGCCCCACTGGCGTCCACAATCCCACAAGTGTAATCAGAGGCACCACCACCCTCGGCAGTTTCCATCCAAGCTGGCTTCCTAGGAAAAACAGGCCCCATTCTGGAGTCAGAGCTAACTCTACGTTCTAAAGAGCAAACACATGTTGCGGAGGGGTCTCACCCTAAGCCACAGCAGTGTTCACAAAAGCTTTTGTAGAATTATTAAGAAAACAAGCAACATACTGTATTGGAAAAGGCAAGTGTGTGAGTTCACGCTGCATTTCCGTAAGGAACCAGTCTTATCCCAGTGAGCTTTTGGTAGCCAAATACGACTGCGTTCCATTTCTGCAACCAAAACTAAAGGAATTCTGAATAACTGGGAACGTCGGTTAAAACCAGAATATCTTTTTTCCAAATGGCAAATTAACTGTCAATGTTCCATTCCATAAATGACTAAATAAGACTTCAAAAACAGGTATAAATCTAGGGTGGCAGTGGTTTCAAAATCAGTCATCAACTTAAAATAGAGCTAGAATTCAAAATATACTCACCGAAATGTTTAAGCTCTTTAATTTTAAAATACTTACTAAGCATAATGTACCTAGAGATTGGCAATTAATTTTAACTTAGATTTTCAGTAAAACTTAGTGTGGACAGAAAACATGGCTTCTATTACCAAGTATTACTATATACTTTGTCACATGACTACAGCTTACAAGGCTCATGAACAATTGAATTTTTCAGTGACTGAGGATTTTTACACACTCATTTTGAAATTCAATCAAGACCATATAATCAGATTCATACGCCTGAGATCAAGCTGGTAAAGATATCAAGAACCTCTCCCCAAATTGGTTAATTAGACAGGCCTCCATTATTCCTTCACTATCCAAGAGAAGTATAAAGACTAATGACTAATTTGGTTAAATAAGATTACATACAAATTATGTAAATACGCAAACACTTGATGAAATCATCTTTCAACCTTTTTAAGAATTCTAATTCCTATATTAAGCAGTTTCCAGTTATCATTAACAAAACACATGACCATCATTTAAAAGATTATCATTTGGTGCTATTAATTTAGTAAACAACCTTTTAGATTAGGCCCTGCCATCCCAAAGTTCCTTTCTGCCTTTTCATAAAATAAAATAACCTCATCTCAAAACTAATCCATATTGCACTTTTTTTGAAATCAGGCAGATCTCAGCTAACAAATGTCCTCATGAAAATCAACAAGCCGCTTGTTTTTGTATTATTCACTTTTGTGTTGCATTAACACAAACTGCTTCTGTATCATTAGCTGAGGAACCTACGCATGGAGAATGGTTAAGGAGAACCGGCTCCCTGTACCCATGCTCAGGGGTGATGGCTGTGTCTGGACACCCCGCCCCTCCGTCCTAGCATCTGGACCACGTCAGCACAAGGAGCGTGGAGGTAATTCGCACGACTCAGCTTTCAGAACTTGGTACCCCTCTGCTGCTAATTTTGTTATGTATGTGTATATAGAGGCATACAAATACGAAAGCCATATGAAAGCAGTACTGGTATCTACTTCTTTAGCATGGAAAGAATTTCTATTATTCTGTTAAAAAGTGAACTGGCTTGCAAGACTCAGAAAAGCAAAACAAAACATGCACCCTGGAAGTTAAATACAAACAAGCTAAAGAAAAACCCAGCACGAGAGAGGTATTGGCTTTAACTTTAGGCAATTGACCAAGACACTCACACAACATATGCATGTCAGTCTCCTATTCAGTCCAGTCCTAGAGCCTGCAGTATTGTAGTTTATTGTGAAACCATGTAACCAAATACTTAAATATATCCACGACATCTATACCACGGTAATGCATAGTACATAATACACTAACATCTCAAAATAAAGTTCTATTACAGTTTTATGCAAATCACGGTAGAAGATGATCGATCACCTGCCACATTCTGAGATGGCACTAACTTTATGTAACGTTCCGTGTCAATGTCCAGTCCGAGTCTGTACTGGCTGCGACGTCTTCTGCATTTCATCTGAACACCTGAAATCAAGCTGTTACTCCAACAACCCCAGGATGTTATCCATTAAAATCACTGCACTGGATGTTAAAGCAGGTAAGTGATACAGCAGGAAAAGTGTTTCTAATTCACAGTTTCAAAAATAAAGGGTGCAGTTTTCAAATATCTGATTGCTTAAAAATGGCCACTCCTTTAACAACTGCCTCCTTCAATACATGTAAACTATATTTGCACAGCCTTAGGAGATGTCTTTTATTCAGAAGTTAGTTCTTACTGTTACAGGAGCACCACAAATTTGAAGGAAGAGGCTACAGCGTGAAATGAGTTCACTGAAGGGCATGTGGAATAAACGTTGGACTACAATGAAAGGTACTGCAAAAGCTTTGCTCCCCCAGCAGAGACCCCCTAAACAGGAAAAATGGTTAACACCAAATGCAGTATGTAAATTAGCTCTACAAGAGGCGGGGACAAATCAAGCTCAACTAAAAGAAAACAATCATCAGCTAACACACCCGTGACAGCGGCTTCGACTTTTCCTAAAACTAAAATTCAAAAGCATACACAGTACTTGTACCCTTTGATAAGGAATGGAGACATCCAAAGGAAATGAAAGAAAAATCGGGCTTTAAGAGTTCTAAGTGGAAACACACGCACACAAGCTGGTAACTGAGAAAAACTGATTACTTAAATATTCAAACCTTAAATGTGTAAGAAAATTTATACTAGAAAAAAGTGGCAAATTGTTATGTGACTTGATTTGCTGAAACATCTGCAAATTCACACTGGCATTAAGAAAACCGAAGTTTTGAAAATTTACTCCCCTCTCTCTCTCCAGATATGTGTTTTCTGTGCAAAAATAAATATCTGAAAATTGCACTAGTGATACTTAATTTTAACTTCTGTATTATGAATAATCTGCACATGCTGCTTTACAGACAATACATATTTTGTAAACTTGCTCATGCAAAATTAGTGTGCGCAACAGGGATATTATTGTTCACCCCCAGACTTTAAAAATGACACCTTATTATCTCTTTCTAAACTTCCAAATCCTCTAACATGTAACAGATCTTCTATGGATATTCTTCTCTGCCAGCTAAAAATCAATTTATGTTGCTGAAACAAAAAGTTAAACAAGAAAAATAAACATGGTTTTTGTCTTAAGAATTTTTGATTTTTAAATGAGAAAATTTTGTAAAAGAAAGAAATTCATGGTCACAAAATTTTAACATTTTAATCCTAAACATTACAGGGTAAAATAGATACTGGACCCTTTCTCCACACTCCATGAATCCTAACTTTCAGTTTCCATTTAAAATGTTGCCCTAACCACTAGAACATTAGTGGTTTCACAACCTCTGGATTATGGGAATACACATTTCTGAAATAAATGCTACAAAACAACAAAGGAAGAAAGCCGAACAGACTGTCTCCATGAAGGAAAAAAGTGGAATATTTTGGAGCTTTTAGACACTTCTCTTTCCATGTCTTACGATCGTTAACCTGTCAATTCAGTGCATCGTATGGTCACACGCAATGGTCCCCGACTGAACAAGCATCTAACTAGTGTCCATGGATTCCAAGTTAGTGGACGACGAATCCTTCTGGATACTCTCAAAGATGGCGGCCAGCTCAGGGTTGGAACTGATCTGAGACTGGAATTCACTCATCAGCGGGCTCTTCTCTGCCTCTGGAATGGTGAGCAGGGCCGCCACAGCTCTCATGGCGGAGCGCTTTAATTCGTCCTGCTTTTCAAACTCCTGCTTGACAGAGTTTGCCTTCACCTGTAATGAGGGACACAGATTACACGCTAGAAGCAAGCTCTTACATGAACACAATGAACACAGGATTTCCTGGTAAATAAAGCAGAGCTACTCTCTCATGAGTCTATAAGGCATATTATATTCTAAGCACAGCTGTCTACATATATATATATATTTTTTTTTTTAGCAGTCGCTGTCTCCTTGTCTTTTAAAGGAATATGTCACACAAAGCTCTGTCATAAAAACAGAAAATCCAGGCCCATATGGTTGAAACGGATAGAGAAGGACCCGAGTCTCATCTGCTTGGCACATCCCCACCAAGAAATGACTCCTCCAGCAACCCTACCGATTCACCATTCCTCAAACACCTCATAAAGAACATCTCGACGACTGCTCCTTTGACCAGACTTAAAACACTTCTTCTTGTGTGGCCCCATCTCATTTTATCCCATGCCAGTGTTTCAAAACATCTATCATGTTGTGAGAGCAATAAACAAAAACTGTTAAGAATAGCATTTCACAGTAGTGCCGAGTTTTATAAAACAGCCACTTTCGACAAGCTAACTTTTTAAACCAATTGCTACATATGGTGCCAGCTTAACTAAACCTGGAAAACCGGAGAAAGGGATTGGACAGGGATTCCAATCACGCTAAGGCCGACCTCAGTCGCACTTGGCAATTCTTACCTTGGTGGTACAGGTGGCACGCAATGGTTCAACAAGTCGGTCCAACCTCTGCAGTACTGCACTTGGACAAAGGGTGGACAGTCTCACCAACATTAAAAATGTCAGCATCTATTTGGAATTCAAAAAGACAAAATTTAGCCGTGACATTATTCTTTAAAAGCAAAATTCTAAATTCAGACAAGTCTTTTAAAAGGAAGCTTCATTTTAGTGTGACCTGCCATTCAGAGTCACAGACATGCTTCAAACCTTATCTGAGTTAATGGCGAGACTTTGTTTGTAATGTGGTCCTGAATACAAAACTAGAAAAGTGGTTTCAATCTCGGCTACACATCAGAACCACCCGGAGAACTTGAGAAACATACCCCTTCTTCAGACCCATTCTCAGACAGTTTTACTGAACCTATCAGGACAGAGCCAGAGTCAGTATTCTTTAAAAACCCCATGTGCACTAGAATTGAAAATCCCTGAACTAGAAAATTATCAAAGTGGAAGACAAGCTTTGTAACAGTTTCACTCTTTTTTTTTTTTTTTGAGATGGAGTCTCACTCTGTCGCCCAGACTGGAGTGCAGTGGCCACTCCCGGCCACCGCAGCCTCGACCTGCTGGGTTCCGGCGATCCTTCCGCCTCAGCCTTCCAAGTAGCTGGAACTACGGGCGCGTGCTACCACGTCCGGCTGATTTTTGATTTATTGTAGAGATGAGGTCTCGCCAAGTTGCCCAGGTGGGTCTCGAACCCGCGGGCTCAAGCAATCCACTCACCTCAGCCTCCCAAGGCGCAGGACTACAGGCTGAGCCAACAGATTTCGCCCTCCCACCAAAAGACCAGCTATTCAGAATGAGCCACATACAACCTGATATCCCCAAATCCTTTTTCTCATGGACCACGAGCTCCTAGAATTATAAGAATACCCCGTGGCTTCTGGGGTCTCTCTTCACTGCCCTGAGAGGCTCAGGCCACTACTGCACATGGCAACAGAGCTGGCGCTCCAGAAGCTCAGCTGAGTCACTTGCTCAGCTGCCTTCTGCCCTACTTGGCCAAAAGCCCCAAAGGGAAGCATCCATGAAAAAGACACAATGTATTTGTGAATTCTTCAATCACCCTTTTATTGTGCACACTGAGAGTGAAGATGAGCAGACAGGAAAACAAACAACAGTCATAAGCAAAATTCACGCTCCAGGTCTCAGGACGGTATGATTTCTCTCTAGTTGCTTCCTCAAAGACTGCTCTGTGCATCTGGAAACAGTTCTTCCATGTTATGCTCTCACAAAATTCTTGATATTAAACACTGTATATTAGATCAAAAAACAAAAATTCCTCAGTGTGGTGGATACTACAGTTATCATCCAGACTGGTCCCAGCGGTAGCCTAAGAGAATCAATCAAGACACTGCTGGGAAACTAAGGACACCCTGTCCAGGTAGGAGCTACAGCTCAATGCAGCCCCAAGAGATCACAGACCTGAGTCTTTCTGGACTCCTGAGGGGAAGGATGTATGGGCTACTCACCACACGGGTCTGCACAGAGCACTTCTTGGGAATTTTTCATTCACTTCTGCTTTCTCTTTCGATAAAAGGCAGTCTGGATCTCTCCTCCATGTCAACTAATGCTACACTACCTATGACTTTTGCATATTATAGTTGACAGCACTCTTGCCCAAATCCTGACAACCTGAGGTTTCTCGCTTCCACACATTAGGTAAATCACAAAGGCAACAGTTGCTACAGCAAGTCTTCTTCTAAAACATTGTATCAACAGGCATAAGCATCTTACCTTAATATCATAATGGTCCTTCAAACCATCTTCAACATGATTTAGAAATTCGAAGATATCTAGCCTATCAAGACAACTGTCTAGAAGTGTGTACATACACTCAAAAGCTGCCTTTCTAATATCCAGACCGTCATCAACCGTATGTTTAAATGGACCCATTTCTACCTGTTAAGACAAAAAAAAAGGTGTGGATACACTCTACTTCAAAGACCGGGACAAGCTTCGGTAAACAGTGTCATCTAACTAACTTACCTCTCTTATAAGCTCTTTTCTGACTTTGGTTTCATTGTAAAGATGTGGCAGAACAGTATCCAGCAGATCCCGTATCAACGATGGCTTGTTATGTGCTGCGGAGTTGAACGTGACCAAGGCTACTCTTCTAACATTCAAATCTGGGTCTTCCAAAGTCTTTAGGAAATCACCTGAGAAATTGTAAAAAAAAAAAAAAAAAAACCCAAAAAACAAACACCAGACATAATGGTAAGCTCAATATGTGATACACATTATCTCTTCTCCTAAATTGACATCATTTGTTATTGTTGGTGTCATAGTTATTTCTTCAATGAAGGATGTGGAAGTACTTAATGAAATACCAAATGAACCATAATTTTTTTTTTTGGGCAGCAACTAACATTTCTGAAGGTGAGTAGATTTTCAATTGATAACCCACCCTCAGCATCTACAATGCAGACAGCATGGAAGATGAGTCCATAGAGCTCTCCAATATTACTTTTATAGATACTTTATAAGGAGGTGGATTGCACAGAGAAGCAACAGAGCCTGCAGCCAGAAAGACCCATCACTGAATGATTCTCCACAAAGTTCTCTAAAAGCAACAACAGAAAAAGCAGGTGGGCATGGACCCATGCCTTAATAAAAATGGAAGCCCAGTCAACAAATGACAAAGAGAAACATGCCTCCAAAGCCCTATTTCTACCTTCAATAAGAAATACACGAAATCAGCAAAAAATATCAAAGGAAGAAACTACAGCCCAACACAGGACCAAAGACAAAAAGGGCACCCAGCTACTTCACTGACAGATTTCGGTCTGCTTAACTCTTGCAAATGTGGGGAAAGAAACCACAATGTGAAAGACCTCTGGCGTCCCACAGACAGCTCGAACCATTTCACACTTGCTAAATGTATGATTTAGGGCAAGTTATTGTGTGCAGGAGCCTCAGTTTCTCCGTCAGTAAAATGAGAATCATCAACCTCTGATGGCTGCTGAGCAGAATGAACAGCGCGTATGTTGCTGAATACTCTAGCTGGCACACACTAGGGATCCGCGTGTAGGTCTCACTCGTCGTTCTACTATCTCAACTCTATCACCAGCAATCTTTCAGAATACACAGGAAATGAAGGAGAGGTGACAAAAGACTCAACTGCCAACGTGGAAAAAAAAGAACTGGAAGACACAGGTGGCAAGAGAGACTTCAGACACTGTCAACCAGTCGACTCGATGTTGATTCCCAGGAATGTTGCAGCACTGAATACAAAAAAAAAAGTTTCCAAGGCAACACAAATATACCAAACAAATCCTCCCCAACCTTTTGTTTGCACAGAATTACTAAATGGGTGATACTAGAAGAACATCTAAAAGAGGCGTGTGTGCTTTCAGTGACGCATCTTGAATACTGCTGCTATCACAGATACAACGGGGTCACAGAGTAGGATCACTGGTCCTTAGCTCCATGGTCTAGGAATCTCCACTTTTTTTTTTTTTTTGAGTTGGTGTCTCACTCTGTTGCCCAGGCTGGAGTGCAGTAGCATGCTCACGGCCACCGAAACCTCAACCCGCTGGGCTCAGGTGATCCCTTCCGCTTCAGCCTTCAACTAGCTGGAACTACAGGCACGTGCCACTATGCCTGGCTAATTTTTTGATTTATTGTAGAAATGAAGTCTCACCAAGTTGCCCAGGCTGGTCTTGAACCTGTGGGCTCAGGCAATCTTACCTCGGCCTCCTAAAGTGCTGGGATTATAGGCGTGAGCCACTATGCCGTACCCGGCCTGGAATGTCCATTTTAAAAAGATTCCTAGGTGGTTCTGACGTTCAAACAGTCCCAAATACTGAATGTGGACCAACAATGCACACTCGGGGGCTGCTGTCAACCCAGAATGATGTTCCCAGAGACGCTGCACTGGCTTCTGCTTCTGTCTGATCTCACATAAAACCAGAATGTGAGTGAATATATCAAAGCAAAAAGCCAGAGGAACAGATCTAGGTGTTGTCCAGGTCCTAGTCGTAGCGCCCATGTGTGCCAGGGTCTGCCCCACTCTCAACTGGCAGTCCCGTTATACAGATCAAATGTTCAACTGTGCCTTTCTCCTTTCTGGCACACTGAAGAATGGCACCACGCCATGAGGTGTCTCTGCCAAATTCCTCATCCCTCTCTGCTGCTCTCTCTCATCTCCTGTCCTCAAAAAAGTCCCAAACTGAGTTCTGAGGGTTTTTAGCTACTACCGCCAGCTCTAGGAAAACCAATGATGAAAGCAATAAAGCACAGGGAATCCCCAAAGCGAATTCTTATCTTCCCAGAACTAGAGGACCCTAGCTTTTCTCGGGTGTCTCCTCTTAGTTCTTCTGGGAATTAGCCCTACCCAACTTGAGCGTGGATATTCTAAGCGGTTTTCACCTTCCACGTGGAAGTCTCCACATACCCCCTTGGGAGCTGGATGACTACAAACAACAAGAGAAAACAGGGGCCCTGACAGCTCCAGTGAGCCTCATTTACACCTGGGAGGAAGCTTCCGGCTGGAAAGGTTCATCTGGTACATTTGCTTTATCCATTAATGCTATCTTAGATCATCTCAAACATAGGATTATCAAATATGTAGTGGACTCTAAAGATAAGCTGATATATTTAAAAATCTCCATTGTTTGCAAAATCATCTGGTAAATGACAAACCAAGGAATGACAACACAAGCAAATACAATCTGCTACAGTCTGCAAAAGATCATACATGATCAATTCTCTTTTTAATGAAGCAATTATTTTATGAGCATTTCAATTCCTCGGTGAACTTTTCGGTTACTGAAATTTCGGTTGACAATTATTCTAATTCCCAAAAATCATTCATCAGTACGTTTGCCTTGGTTTCCACTTACCTATGCAGTTCTTTAACAGTGGGTCAATAGGCTGTGGGTGGTCAGAAATTGTGAACTTCACAGCTGTAACCACTGAGCTCCGGGCATAGGAAGAGCCTAATAAAAAATAAATCGCACACCTGTTGGTACGCAGTCTACTGAAACCCATGGACAGCATTTCGCATTTCAAACCACTGCAGGTAACACCAGGGTCTTCATTTCCTTACAATTCTCTTTGGCCAGGAAGGGTATTTCTTATTGCACTTGTGATTCTAAAGGAACAAGGTTTACTTACCTTATAAAACATGACACCCATGAGATTTAAAAAGAAGCAGCTTCTGGAAGGAGGGACCTGATGCAGCAGTGGAGGAGACTGCCCTCACAAAGGGGAACTGGTTACGTCCATAAATAGCTTATAACGTTTTTAATTTTTATTAAAAAAGAAAGCAATTTCTAAGACTGACTGACCACTATACCTTCTGACTGTCTAATGGGAGTGACACTGGTAAATCTGAGCTCTTCTAGGTGCTTCCATTTGAACAAAGTACTTTCAACCAATTTTAGTGGTAGAATTACTACTAGCAAGCTCTTCAGATTATATTAAGTCAAAAAATATTTGTCTTTTGCACATCTTAAGACAAAATGGCAACGCTAAAAATGCAGCCATCACGAGGAACTAGAACAGATTGATTTCACCATTATCTAATTAACCCTATCCTTTAAAACAAAATATTACTTGAATTTAGCACCATATTATGACAAAAGACCGTATGCTTTCATCATATTTAGCGAATACATGCAAGAAAAGACAGGGCTTAACTTCCTCATCAAGCATCTTTCAAGGCAACCAACTGTTCAAAAAATTTTTTTAGTAAGAAAAATCCAGATACCCACCCGATATCAAGTATCCCTTAAGCCTTGGGAGAAGAGTTTCTGGATCAATTAGAGTGAGTTTTCCCAGACATTCAGCAACAACATTTCTGGTTCCTTCTTCTGCACACTCACAGTGCTTTAGTAATAAGGCCCAGATGTTTTCAACATACGGTTTAAGGCCCAACACTGATGCAGAGCTAATAATTTCCTTCAAGGAGTGAAGCAGAAGATACTGCCTTTTGGGCTGACTGGTTATCTCTTGCAGGACGAACGGCAGATACTCCGGAAGGTTGCCTACGCTAATGCTGCCTAACGCATAGGATGCAGCTGACTTCACTTCTTCACTAGGAGATGAGAAGGCTTCCAAGATCACAGATTTGAGTTCCAACTGCCCACTTAAGTCAATATGGTGCCCAACTTCTCCAAGAGAAAGCAGAGCTAAGAGACGAATAGAATCTGTGGACCTCGAGTTCTTGACATCTTGAATAAACTGACCTACCACAGCGGGGCCCTCCTTGGGGCATGCTCGAGTGAGTGCCGCCACGCACTTGGCAATGGAGTAGTAAGACTGCTTATGAGTGAGGGCTGTGCTCTGTGAGTAGACCGGGCCAGTCAGCATGCGCAGCAAGTCCATGTACCCGAGACTGTTTGTTCCTGTGACGACCAGGGCTTGGAAGAAGTCCAGCATGGCACTGAGGGCACCCCCCTGCAATAAGGGTGACCGCACGAGTCCGATCAGCTCGTTGAGAATGGATCCACTTATCTTTGAGAGGGAGGAGGGATACACCTTCGCCAGGGTGGTGAGGAAGCTGATGGCCATCTGGGAGACATGCATGTCGCTCTCACTGATGAGTGGCGGGAGCTCATCCAGAACCGCGTCGATCATGGCGGCTGTCAAGCTGTCACTGTAGTTCTTTATGAGGATATCCAGGGCAGAGAGGGTGCCCAGTTTCAGAGCTCGCTGGTTTTTTCGGAGGAACGAAGCCAGGATGGGAACCCCTTCTCCCAGGACAGGTCTCAAGTCTATCTTCAGAGGTGACCCAGCAATCAGCGTCAACGCCTTCACCGTCGTTAGCCGGGTGATTTCATTCTTTAGTCTCTCCAAGAAAATCTGAAGCGTATTAGGCAAATCAGAGCCCAAGTTGTCTCCAAGGCTGCAAATAATCTGTCCCATGCAGGAAATAGCCCTTTCCTTGACTTCCTGGTCAATGTCAGCTGCTTTTAATCTCTTGATGGTGCAGGTAAAGAGATCCTTGATGTAAGGAGTTGCATCAAATGAGGAAGGCTGATCCAAAGGGCGAATCACCTTGACGAGCTGCTGAGTCACAAGGAGAGCTTCCGACGTAATCTTGTAAAAGGGGTCTCCGACACAGGCCACCACGGGAGGAACCAGGGCCTGGACGTGAGGGTGGAAGGCCTGAGGAGAGTGGTTACAAAGGATCACATAGAGACAAGAGAGGGCATCAATCTTCAGGTTCGAGGAGCTCGATTTATCATTCAGTGAGAAAATAATTCCTAAAAAGCAACACAAAAGTCAGTCAGTGCTGTGTAGTTTAAGGCTGAAACTCTCTTTTTTTGTGTGAGCTGGAGTCTCACTCTGTTGCCCAGGCTGGAGTGCAGTGGCACATTCATGGCCACCACAGCCTTGACCTGCTGAACTCAGAGTTCAAAGTTGCTGGGATGACAGGCGCACACCACCATGCCCAGGTAATTTTTTGATTTATTGTAGAGATAAGGTCTCACCAAGTTGCCCAGTCTGGTCCTGAACCTGTGGGCTCAGGCAATCCTCCCTCCTCGGCTTCCCAAAGTGCCTGCTGGCGAAGGCAGAAAAATTTAAATATCAAACCCAAAAGACTGCTAGAGATCCCACTTCATCACATTATCTCTAAAGTAGTAGAAACTTTACAATCTATAATAAATATTAAAACCAGGTTGGGCTCGGTGGCTCAGCCTGAATCTGTAGGTTCGAGACCAGCCCAGGGAATTTGGCGAGACCGCATCTCTACAATAAATTAAAAATGAGCTGGGCATGGTAACGTGTGCCTGTAGTTCTGGCTACTTGGAAGGCTGAGGCGGAAGGATTGCCAGGTCGACGCTGTGGTGGCCGTGAGTGTGCCACTGCATTCCAGCCTGGGCAACAGAGTGAGACTCCAACTCAATAAATAAATAAATAAATATTAAAACCAAAGTCTTTAGGGTAAGATCTTCAACTCTTTGCTTGCAAATTTATAATTTCAGGCACTCAAGATGATGAGATTAAAAAGTTAGTTCTATGTGCAGATTAAGTTGTCACAAATTACCCTTTTAAAGGAAACAGTTATTTAAGCTTATCTAAGGCTCAATAAGTCCCAAGAGAGTTACTGCTTCCTTCATACCTGGTACAAGTACAGGAATGTGCTGCGTCAGGGCTCCAGGTAACACGTTTACCAGTTCAGTTAACATGTTAAAACAACACTGTCGAGTCTTCACGCTTTTTTCTTTCATCTGTTTGTGCAGAGCTTTAACGATGTTGGGAACCTGCAATTATTACATACTCTTAGCTGGCTCAGTCACTGGTATCTCCTCAGTACACATCACATGAGTTATGAAGAAAGGGAAGAATTTCTCACGCAGCTATGGCTGACTGCTATTACTAACACTGATGAGACTGCCAGATACAAAGCTTGTTCCATGTATTATACATGTTCTCTTAAAACTATTTGCTTGATGAGAAATTAGAGAAAAGATACCATTCAGCTTTCTGGAGAGCAACACATCTTGATTAATTTTTAACTATGAAATGCACACAACTATAAAGAAATTAACCAAATAATAAAACGTGTTCAACCAAAAACTGAGGAGTGCAATTTATAAACGGTATTTTAAATGAAAGTAGAACAGATGAGCATCAAAGGAAATAAGACAAATTAGGGAGAAACAACCATCAAACATGTCTTTTTTTTCTGCTTTCAGTTTGCTGTTATAAGGAATCAACCTAAATTCAAACGTAGCTACAAGGAGCAGAGGCAACATTCTAAGACGCCCACTCTTAACTTCCTAGTGTCTGCTAGTCAGAAAAACTTTAAAAGTTTTGTGACAAACCTTACACAGCCAAACTATAGATGGAGCTTCTAAAATCCCTCAGTAGCAAAGATTAAAAGCAAAAACAAAGTAAGATCCCAGCAAAACCACACAGACATATCGTAACTGCACAATTACCTGAGAACTAGGGCCTCAACAATCCTCTACCTGACTTCCCACAGCACTATCAGAATTGCGGGCAACTCCACACGTGCTGCGGTGCTCACAGCCTCCCCACACTCTAGCTCACTTCCTACCACACTCCCATCTCCAAAGGCCACCTTCACAAGGCAGTCTGGCACAAATGTACTTATCGGCACTCCTTGAAAATAATACAGGTCCGGTATGTGTGGCCCCTCCCATGGCTTAATCCCTTTCCAGACCTGTCTTGTCATCTATAAAAATGGACCTAGGAATCACCTGCCCCCCCAGCCCCCCAGAGCTGCTCTAAGGCACTACATAAGATAGGACAATGCCTGGCACATACTAAACATCCGATCAATGGGAGTGACTGGCTCTAGCATTAAGGGACTCAAGTGATAACCACAGACTTCACAAGTGAGAGCAGGCACCTACCAGACACTCACTAGGCTGCAGGCACACACTGAGCACTCGACAGGGATCACCTCCTCTCTCACTACCCTGCAAGGATTTCTAAGTCAACCCTTGCAACAAGTGAGGAAAGTGAGACATACTAGAATAACGAAACAGCTTGTCCAAGATCACACAGCCATATCAGCAGGGAAGCTGGCTATGTGAACAGAACCTGTCTGACTCCACAGCTCTAAGATGTCTTCATTGAAATCAAAGGTAAAGATTACTGCATCTCAGCAGTATTTTCTTGCTGTTCATCAAGTAAAATCAAGACCACTTCTATGAGAATAAACACTTTGTAAGTGACATACTATGAACATGCATTCACTGCTATACAAACCTATCCCTGAACCCTCTGCTTCCCCGAAGACAGTCCACGACTTGCACTTCCATGTGACAACCACATTTCTACAGTGCCACGTGCCTGCCCGAGCTTTGACACCCACCTGGCTCTGCAGCATCGTCAAAGGCGTCTCTCCCTGCTCCATGGCATCAGGGTCACACAGCCAACTCTGCACAGGACGAGTTTGCTTCAAAAGAGAAAGGTATGCGTGAAAGACATCTGCCTTGACATTCTCTTCGCGCTCTTTAAATCGGGATATCAGTGCAGGAGAGACGGTCTTGTAGAATTCTGGAAGCATCTCATGCCTGGTGCTAACCACAGCGTCCAAGCACTTGGCAGCTGCGCGTCTCACTTTCCAGCTCATGTCATCATCGTCACTGTATTCATCATCGCTACCTAAGGGGGAAGTTTTCATGTCAACAGGCTCTTCATCCCATCATTTATTACAGACAGTGAATTAACATCTTAATCAAGACAGTTCATCCAACTTTTCACTACCACTTAGGCCATGGCAATGAGAAAGGTTTGGGCAACTTAAACCTAAGTGATGCAGAGCTCGTCACTTACAGACATTTGCACATGAATTAACTTTAAAACAATCATCATCATTGTGACTTTAATTTGTTAAGTATTTTCTCAATCATTGTGAGTAATGAACTGTTCCTTATTTATAACACTTTAAAATCATTAACTAGCAATCCCAGCACTTTGGGAGGCCGAGGTGAGTGGACTGCCTGAGCCCGCAGGTTCGAGACCCACCCAGGCAATTTGGCAAGAGCTCATCTCTACAATAAATCAAAAATTAGCCAGGTGTGGTAGTGCGCGCCCACAGTTCCAGCTACTTGGAAGGTTGAGGAGGAAGGATCGCCGGAGCCCAGCAGGTCGAGGCTGCGGGGGCCAGGAGCGTGCCACTGCACTCCAGTCTAGGTGACAGAGTAAGATTCCAACTCAAAAAAAAAAATAAAAATAAAAAATAAAAATAAATCATTAGTTAACAGATTAAACCTCTTTGTAATGTAGATATTTGTAAAGTGACATATTTCCAGTCTTCAAAGAAAATTCAAAGGACTACTTAACCCTACAGGTATATCAAGCAATCAGGGAGTTTAGGGGATAAACTGTGAAATGGATTTGTGGCTACAGATGACGTGATGGAAAGAACGGCTACGAATCTCAAGGACATGCTACTGAGCTCGTGTTCTTCAGTGAGAAAGAGTGCTGCCATCAGCTTTGCGACCACAAGGCTTTTCACTCAACTTGCTGACAGGCTATAAGGAACCAGCATGTATGTTCCCAACCTTTCACGCTTGTGTCTTAATGTACTTTAAGAAAACCATATTTTCTTAATTATAACAAGAAAATGCTGCCCACTTGACAAAAGACCATCTTCTCCAAACTCCTGACGCTAAACTTTATACATTCCAAGCATAAGCTTCAAGAGGTACATCTCACACTTGTGTACGTATAAAATCCCTGAAAAGTATTTCCTTCTAATATAAACAGTAAGGTGGAAAATATCAGCACTTCTCACAAGGGTCTAACATTATCTAACAGCAATTTTGGTGTTCAATGCATCCGTGACAGCACGTGGAAGTACTTGGCTTGCTGTTGAGCACACTCAAAACCAACACCCCAAACCTGGGGCCTGTACTGCGATGGCTTTCCTCAAAGGATTTTCATGTTATAATACCAGCTAACATCGCCCCTTATTAATACATCACAGTTTCTGAGTACCTGTTTTGTGTCCAAGCACTGTCCTATGTCCTGTAAAAAAGCAGTCAGTCAAAAAATCAAAATGTCTAGCCCTCATGAAGCTCTTGTCCTAGCAGGTGGGAGACAGTTAGTTACAGTTTGTCAGAAAGTGATTAAGTGTGATAAAGAAAACGAACGCTGAAAAAAGGAGATCAGTGCATGGCAAGGGAGGGAAAAGTTCTGAGATGGAGGAATCAGGTATGACCCCAAGGCTTTTGGTCTGAGAAACTACGAAGAATGGAGGTGAAAAAGAGAAAAGAAGACGTTACTGACGTCCACGTAACAACAGTATCAACAAAGCAGCTGCATATGAGCCTGAATTCACAGGAGGGATCTGTAGTACAGGCAAGGTCTGGGCAGTCAGCACACTGATAGTAAAGCCAGGAGACCCACCAAGACCAACAAGAAAGTCAAGAGTCAATGGATAAGGCCAAGGGCCAAGCCTCGGGAAAGTCTGAGTTCAGCGAGAAGGGTGATGAGGAAGAGCCAGCATGCAGGACGGATGAGTCACCACAACAACAGGACCGAGACCAGGCCTCGTGTGGCATTCCAGAAGCGGAGGAGAGATAGCTACTGAGTGAGATGGAGCAGGATGACAGGCAGAGTCCAACGCTCACTGGAGAAGGGGGTTCGAGAGGAGAGCAGCGAGCCGAGCAGCATTCTCCCAAGGAGCTCTGTCGCAGAGGCAGAACCCGGGCAGTGGCTGCTAGAGGAAGACAGAGGCCAAGGGAGAGTTTCTATCAGTGTTCGTTAAGGATGGCTGAGATGACAGACTCCACGGGAAGCCACTGCCTACACTCAAAGAACCAAACTTAAAAACCACAAGAACCCACAAACATACACCATACCCATTCACCTAAGCATCTCTACTTTTTCTTCCAACACACACACAGCAACCCCCACGTGTGCAGTCCACGTGCTTGAAACACTGTTTCTTCCATAAACACCATAAATCATAGGTGAAGACACAATCTCAGGGGCCTCAGAAATGTTTAGGTTATCATGAAAGTTCAATGGGGCCTCAAACAATATTTAGGATTTTTTCACAAATATGTAAACCATTACTGCTTCCAATCCACTGCCCAGAATATGTACATCTACAGATTCGAGCTTTTTAAGAACTTTGCTTTATCTCCTTACGAAAACACTTTGTAGAAGATTTGAATAATACTGAAGAACAAAAATATATAGTTGCCAGTCAAGAGAAGACTAGTAATATTACTAGTCATAAATATGGAGAATTTTTTGTTTATTTAAAAAGACTGGGACACAGTAAAAATTTTTGTTACCAACTTTGCACTCATCTTGTTAATAGCATGAATACACACTTTCCCAGACATAACTTTGAACGTGTTGTATAGCAGCCCAACACATGGGCACCCCTAATGTAATCAATTTGCCACTGTCAAATACTGCAGCCATTTCCATTACTACAAATGAATAAAACACACGAGACCCAGCCTGAGTCAAGACTCTTCTCCACCTGTAACACGGCCTGTCCCACACTGAGTGGATCCCTCTTATCCAGCCGGGAATACCTTGATCGTCGTCGTCAGCACCGTCAGCATCCATTGCATTCTCATCTTCATCTTCATCATCATAATTGTAATTTGGATCATAGGTGAGATATTTAAGACATATATTGATAATGGTAGATACGTGAGGATACACTTCCTTAGGACATCTGAAGACAGAAAAGAGGCCTCCTTCAACCGCAGCACTTTTCTCCTGGAGTCACCACCTGCCACATTTCGCTTCATTATCAGCAATAACACAATTACAGCAGCTCCCAGAGGACTCAGCACCAATGACCCCTGACTATTCTCTCTCGTGGACTTCATGTTTTAATAGATGTACCTTTCAGACTGCCATGTATTTTGTCCATTTTAGGAGGAAGTCCCCACCAACATTTTGACAATGTTATGGTTAATGTGGGACCACAGAGTGAGAAATCAGCATATCCTCAGTCTTCTCTACGTGTTACGAAGAGACCAACCCTAGATGAGCGCGTCTTCAACAACTAGGATAACTTGCAGAAATTCCAGGGCAGGCCGGGCACAGAGGGAGGCCAGGTGAGAGAACTGCCCAAGCCCGCGGGCTCGAGACCAGCCTGGGCAACTTGGCGAGATTCCCATCTCTACAATAAATCAAAAAATTAGCTGGGCAGGGTGGCGCGCACCTGGGGGGATTCCAGCTACTTGAAAAGTGGAAGGATTGTCTGAGCTCAGAAGGTTGGGGCTGCAGTGGCCGTGAGCGTGCCACTGAACTGCACTCCAGCCTGGGCGACCAAGTGAGACATAGACTTAAAAAAAAAAAAAAAAAAAAGAAATTCCATGCATATTCAGCCAGGCTTGGTCTTCTTGCTATATGATAGGGGACAGGCCATATTATAAAAAAAAAGAAATAATTTGAGTTTCTCAATGACAGGAAATGAATCCCACAACTTCTTACAAGATATGCTCATAAAGCCACTTCTCAAGCCTCTGAGTGGCAAGGGACAATTGCAAATAACAACGAGTGAGGTCTCAAGACCCTGTGCTCTTTACTAGCCAAAGGCAAAAAGTCTGTTACTCACCCAATACTGCCTTATAGCATACAAATGCACAATTTTACCAAACTCTGAAACACCAGTACCAAGGTTTCCAAATTGAGAATCACTGACCTAGCTAAATGAGTATGACAGACCTGAAATTCACTATACTTCTGACAGATAATTCATTTACCCCACTGCTCTCTCAGGATAGACTAGGTTGTTACACTGGCATCTCTTTCCCTCTTAAGAGGTTAAACAAAAAATAATTATACATACTTTTCCCAAGTTATTTCATAAAGTCCTAACAATAAGAAGGAAACATTTTCAAAATAAAGATGATGACCACATTTTATAATAGTAAGATGATGTTAGCGACAAATGTTGTATTGGTTGTAACTGTTGAATGAGAAACTTAAACACATCTGAAATTCAATAGGCTGTTTCTCCTCGCACACCTAACCTAGACCTTAATTATGACTCTATCCTTAAGGAAAAGTTTACTTAAAAAAAAAAAGACCTTAAAAACATACCTTCTTACAAATGATTCAAAGGCTTGAATGCAGTACTCTCTTAATTCATCATCATCAACATTACAAAACTTTACCACCAAAGGAATTATCTTCTCAAGGTATTCACCTAAGAAAAGCAAACTGGCTCTTAAAAACATGCATCAATTCTTACAGATTAAAGAAAACTTCCAAATATTTAAAAATTCTTACCTATTCTATGACCAGCTTGTCTACTAATAGCAGCAATACACTGTATATAGGTTCTTGTTGTTGACATGGAATCATTTTTGGACAACTCTGACAGCAGATGTTCAATAAGATCTACAAAAACTATATTTCCACAGCTCATAACCAGATGGCCAAGAGCGATAATGGTTCTTTTCCTCACTGCAAGTCTAGGGCTGGTCAACTGGGGAAGCAGACAGGTCAGAATTGAAGGATGGAAATTAACAAGAAGTCCTCCTTGCCTTAAAGTAAAATAAGAAAGAAAACAACAAATGAATTCAAGGTGTCTGAACACTACCAAAATGTCTGGCCTCTGACTTCAATGCAAATATTCAGAGTATACATTCAGTTGAGACTAATCCAAACTCAGAACGAAAAGGAAGTTGAATTCTTCTTCTTTGTCGATGCCACTGCAAACCTGAGCTAAGTGAATACAGCTTTGAGATGTATATTCCCAAACTAACTCCTGAAATCTGGACCTAAACTCCCACCCTACAGGATATCCAACCAGCTAACTTGAGAAAACGTTAAATTAAAAAACAATGATAATCTTGTCACGTTTCTCTTTCCAAACTCTCTAAGTGATTTTCTCTATTGGTTGTCGCTTTTGGGGGTTTACAACATTCAAAACTTCTTCTTCCATACATCGATATACTAAGCTTCCTCGGTCCTGCTGATCCAACACCTCCTTCCCAATCACCTCACCTTCACAGTCCAGGGCACTAGTACTCACACATGGCCAGGATAGCCAAGGTCAGTGGTCACATCACACACAGGACAGAAAAGTCTGAATAGCCACTGCTCACCAAATTAAGCATAAATTCCCCACCCACCTCAAAATGGCCCCAATGTACTCAAACGATTCCCTACTACTTTTCCGATCATTCTGGAATCTGGAAAACTACTTGTGCCTATGTCCTCCACACCTAGGCACACCCAACTACCGAGGTGACCCCATCCTTCCCAACTCAACTTAAATGCCACCCTTTTCTTAAGAACGCTTTCTTGAATGTCCCACTGGAGACCCCAAAGCACACCACACTCCCAGCTAGTCTTTAGTCCTCTTCTGCCTTGTGGTCATCTGTGTTCTTATCTCCTCGCATCTTCTCACCACACACACAATCCACATGCGCGTGCATGCGCGCGCACACGAGAGCACTTCGTTAATTCTAAGTCGAACTAAATTTTCCACAAATAACACACACAAATAATGATGACCTGTAATTACGATGAAAAGCAAGGATAAACTGAAACTGACAGGTCCTTCAAGTTACTTTCTCCCAGGAGTTGCTTAGGGTCTACCTCTCTTCCAAAAGTTGACTTCCAAAAACAAGGGAAAAACAATGGATGTATAAAAATCAAGCTCCTCCCTCCCCAAAACATGCAGTATAAACACGGATGCTGAAGACCACACCACCATTTTTTTACTGGAAAGTCCTAACTCCCATGGCCGCATCTCCTTATCTAAGTAGATCACTGAACTCAAGAATACAAGAGTAAAACAAAACATAAACTCCACTGAAAAATGTAAAACCACAAATTGCATTAGTTACCTTTCAGAACTACAAAACACACGCTGTTATGCAATATTACATGAGCATAATTAGCTTATTTCTCCCCTCACCTCTCTGCTGCACACATTTATGAAACAGCCATCATTTAAACATGCATAATTTTAGAGCAGGCTTTATTTTATTTACCAGAAAATTTTAAACAAGCGGATGTAGCATCTATATCACCAGGACTGTGAATAACAGGCACATTACCTGCTCAACATATCAGCCATGATATCCAAGGCTTCCAGTTGTACGGAGACATCTTCCTGTTTTGCTATTGCACTGGTAAGACGCCCAGTAATCTTTTTACATACATTAGCAGCTAATGCAGAGCCTGCATGAATAAGAAACCAATGATAATTTCAAGGCAAGCATGCTGAAGATTTAACAACTCTACACTTGATCATGAGACTCAGAGACCCATGTCAGAAAAATATGTTTCAAAACAGGCTGCTTCTCAGCGAAGTAACGTAGTAGACAAAAACAAGGATCAGAGATAACGGCAGAAGGTGTACGGGATGAGGGAAAACAACACAGACGCAGCAGATTTCGCTGCTAGCTGTGTCCACGCCCTGGCATGAATGCTTGCTGCAGGGCCTGGGGCAGCTGTGTGCTGTGTCTCTACAGTGAGAGGCTGCCAGCTTCTCTACTCGAGTCCTCTTTTCTAGCAACCTACCCAGCCTGTTCACTTCAGTGAATTAAAAAGCACACATTCTGAACTCCAACGCTCAGCAATTTCCTTTTAAAAAAATTAACAGATAGCTACAACCTCTAACAAGTTCCTATCTAACCCAAAGATTCTATAACTTCATCGTAAAGCAGGAATGTTGTACCAAGACTCACAAATCAGTAAAGTAGGTCATGTTGCTATTGGTAAGTGAGAAGAAAAAGAACAAGTAATGATGAAAGTAAAAATCTGAATGGCTAAAATATTTCTTGAGAACCAGAAAATAGCTAAATGCAAACATGCCTCAATAAGAGGAAAAAAAATGAAGAAAATACCCATATAGCTAATTACAAACAACATACTTTAGAGTTGGTGATATGTTTTATTGAAATAAGTAACTACTTAATAAGGGTAAAATAACTGGCATGAAAAAGCATTCATTTTGGGTTAAAAGATAATGGGTTTGAATCTTCATCCAACCAAGTACTCAAACCTTTGGGTGAATTAACTTAATCTCTCTGAATTTTAGTTCCCCAACTACAAACTAGGCGAAGAAATTGAGATCTCCCATGTGGCTGATGTTCAGACTAACTAAAATAACACACATGCGGCATTCAGCATGACAACTAGCTCAGTGAGTGATTTATTAATGAGTGGCAACAACATATCAAGACTACATTATTATCAATTTAAATCTCCTCAAAATAAAAGAGAAGATAATTTTGCCCTATTTGTGGATGAAACTTAACTTTTATACTGCTAATTTTAGCAACTGTTAAGTACTCTAGACCAATTCTAAAACATGTATTACCTAGACATTTCTGTCAGAGGTCAAAAGCTAACTGACAAATTTCTTAACCACAGTTTTAAACTGTTTGACTTCCAAATGGCTATAAAAGGCTCAGCTGCAATTAAAGCTACTAGTAAACTGAATTATTTTACAGCTATGTCTGAACCATGTCAAATTTTATATAATAAATTCTGATGTAGAGCAAAATCAACACAGAAAACAAAAAACTACCCAGAACTCATGATTCTGGTTACCTTTTCCCTCATCCCACAGGCTGGCATAGCTCTAGACTGCAGTACGGTACATGCAGTAGAAACATCCTTCAGAACTGACGTTCATAGGAGGTACTCACATCCAACAAAAATGACACTCACTTAAAGCCGAGCTCATTTAAAAGAAAGCAAACACAAAACCCAGGCTTAAGACTGCAGTTGTTCTCACTGTAAGAAAGGCTTGAAAAGACCTGTCAGGAGAGCCACCCCTCTCCCTCCTTGGCCAGGGGGGAAAGGAGCAAAGAGAAGCACCTCTGTCAGGCAGGAGACAGGAAGAGACGTGCCCTCGCTTACCACTGGAAGCTGGAGGGAGCTCTCCAATTACTGTTTTAAGACCAATGCTTGAAATGTCTCGAAGCTGCTCCTTATCAGAAAGCATGTTGGTGCAGAGGGTGTCGACAATCGTCTCTACTTGGTACTCTTTCACTTTACTCACCAAAGGACCAAGACTGTAAGACAAAGAAGAAAAACTTTGTGACACTAGATAAACACAAAGACAGGAAAACCTGTAAGTAGAAATACGAACTCTTCTACCAAGAACTGTCAGCATAAAGTATACACCACTACGCCCGTATCACAAATAGTATACAAACAAGGATGTAAAATATTTTTGAGTCAAGATCCTTGCGGTTGGTTTCTAAAGTTGTCCCACTGATTGCCATCATTATTACCAGGAAACTGAAGATGCTTTCCATATCCCATCCATAACCCTGCAAACACACAGAAAACTTGCTACGTTGCTCAGGCTGGCCTCAAACTCCTGGGCTCAAATGATCCTTCTGCTTCAGCCTCCAACACGCCTGGCAGAAGACTTCTTCTTTTTTTAGATTAGAAAATACAGTGTATTTAGAAAGTGAATGAGAGAGAATGAGAGAGAGAGAGAGAGAGAGAGACTGATTGAGATTGACTGATTGATTCATCGCCCCACGCATGGGGCGGGGGGGGGCAAAGCCACAAAACATGGTGGCAGGTATTGCTCCAAGAGTGCATGGCCACATCAGTCTAGTAAGGCAAGGGCCCAGATGACTTCTTAATAACAAAAAGGCTCATTAGGAATCTGCTCCTACCGCAGGTAACATGCATCAGCAGAAAACAACAATCATCAGCAATAGTAAATGTCCACATACATAAAAGGCCATAGTTAAAGAGTAACTTTTTTCTTCGGTCTGTAAATAATGCTGTTGTTACGGACACACACACGAACACACACCCTTGCCAATATATCAAGAGTGGCTGTAGCACAAATGACAGGAGGAAGTAAATGGAACCAGGTGACAGGGTTTGACATAGCAACTCACACCAGGTGGGACAAGACTAACTTGGAACAGGTTGTGATAAACTCAGAATGCAGCTTACAATTCTTAGCCTAGAGTAGCAATTAAAATAAAGAGCTATAACTAAAAACAGAGGGGTCAAAATGAAATATCATAAAATAATGATTCGCAACTTTTTGGTCTAGGATCCCTTTTTACCACGAAAAAAAATTACTGAAGACCCCCTCCTAAATTTTCTTTATGTGGGTATGTTTTTCAGTGTTTGCCATATTAAAAATTAAAAATAATAAAACCCATTACATGTTAGTAATAGTTTTTTAAAGAAAAATAACCATATTCTCAAAAATTAAAAAAATGAGAACAGCACTGTCTTACATTTATGCAATTAAAAAAATGTCTGGGATTAAAAGAAACAACTGAATTTTCATATCTGCTTTTGCACTCAATCTGTTGTGATGTATCATGTCATGTGCCCTCTAGAAAAACACACTGTACACTTAGAAGAAAATGAGAGGCCCTAAGGAAATAACGCTTCACTCTTGATCACAGGATAGTTCAGACCCTTTCAGGGTCACAGGATGTCTTTGCCAAGTCCCATCATCAAACTTTGAGAACTGCTGCTATATGGCGTTTGATTAAAATGGAACAAACAGAAAAGAAGTAAAAGGGCACATCTAAATCCAACCACATCATTATTTATAATAAATGTTACTATTAAATAATAAGTCAGAAACCAGCTGAACACTCCTATTAAAGGACAGAAACTAACTGGGAGTGGTGGCTCACACCTGTAAACTCGGCACTCCAGGAGGCTGAGGCGAGAGGTTTACTTGAGACCAGGAGTTCGAGACCAGTCTAAGCAACAAAGCAAGAAGACCTCATCTCAATTTAAAAAAAAAAAAAAGAATTTAAAGAAAAGGGGGGGGTTGACTAAAAAATATAAAACTAAATTTAAAAATAAAAGAAAGCAAGATCTAACTACCTGCTGTCTACAAGAAGCATAATTTTAAAATAGAAACACAAATAGGCCGGGCTCAGTGGCTTAGCCTGTAATCTCAGCACTCTGGAAGGCCAAGGCAAGTAGACTGCCTGAGCCCACATCTCTACAATAAATACAAAAATCAGCCAGGCATGGTAGCACAAGCCTGTAATTCCAGCTACTTGGAAGGCTGAGGTAGAAGAATCGTTGGGGCCCAGCAGTTCTACCCTGGTGTGGCCGTGAGTGTGCCACTGCACTTCAGCCTGGGCAACAGAATGAGATTCCAACTAAAAAAAATAATAATGATAAACAAACAAATATATATACACATATAAACACAGATACAATAGTAAGTAAGAGAATAAGATACACTATGCACACACTAATCATAAAAAGTTGGAGTGGCTGGGCGCGGTGGTTCATGCCTATATCCCTAGCACTTTGGGAGGCGGAGATGAGAGGAATGCTTGAGCCCACGGGCTAAACCAAAAAATTAGCCGGGTGTAGTGGTACATGCCTGTAGTTCCAGATACTTGGAAGGCTGAGGTGGAAGGATCAACAGAAACATTTTATACTCATAAAAAAGGTCAAACATCAGGCTGGGTGTGGTAGCTCATGCCTATAATCCCAGCACTTTGGGAGGCCATGGGTTCGAGACTAGCCTGGGCAACTTGGTGAGACCTCAACTCTACAGTAAAACAAAAAATTAGCAGGGAGAAGTGGCACATGCCTATAGTTCCAGCTACTTGAAAGGCTGAGGTGGAAGGATCACCTGAGCCCAGCAGGTCGATGCTGAGGTGGCTGTGAGCATGCTACCACACTCCACCCTAGGCGCAGAGAGATTCCAACTCAAAAAACGGTCAAACATCAAGAAGACATGACAACGTGCATGTACATAGTCACTGTCAAAGAATCTCCTCGACCAAACTTCAGTTGGTTCTCCTAAGCCCTCCTCTCTTAACAAGTCTTGGCCTAGGACCCCATCTCGCTGCCCTTATACCCCCTCCTCCCACTTGTTAGCAATAAATTTCCTCTTCTCCTTATATTCAGAGTAGAGCCCAATCCCTCTCCCCTATTGTTGTAATCTTGACACGTAGCACAACAGTCCAGATTAAAGTCTTCCTTACTGTCTAAACAAACATCAGAACAAAGTTGCCTTTAACATCATACAGCTTTAAAACACATGAAGGAAAAACTGACACTATTACAGGGAAAGGACAAACCAGCACTCATCGTTGGAAATTGTCATACCCCTGTCAACGGTCAATAGATCAAAGAAAGAAAAAAAAATGTCTAATTTATAAATCTGAACAACAGAATCAATACCTTGACCCAGCTGACTTATATAGAAACCACGTAACCTAACAACTGCAGGAGACACTTTCAAGTGCATCTCAAACTTTACCAGGATGCACCATACGGATGGAACCATAAAACAAATCTCAATAAACATTTAAAAGTGTAAAAGGGGGGGACATTGAAATCTTCTCTGACCACAATGGACTTAAATTAGCATTTATACTTTCCTATTTATTCAAATTTGCACCTAGATATGCAAACATCTAGATAACCCCCAAATATCTGAAAATTGCTTCTAAATAACCTATGGATCAAAAAAAAAAAAAAAAAAATCACAATGAAGAGTAAAAATATTTCAAACTGAATGATAAAGAAAATATAAAAATTTGTAGGATGTAGTTAAAGACGTATTTAGAAGAAAATATATATCTTTAAACCTTTAAATGTTTAAATTAGGAAAAAGTCAGGAGAAAACCATAACAGAAATCAACGAAATAGGCAACAAACAACAGAGAAAATTAACAAACCTTGAAGTCGGGTCTTTGATAAGATTAGCAAAGTTGGCAGATTCCTAATTAGGTTAATTGAAGTGAGAAAAAAAAAAGGAGATAACACAAATTATCAAAATCAGGGTTTAAGGAGATTCACTGATGGCATGATGGTTTAGGCAGAAAATCCTGAGGACTCATTAAAACTACTCTAACAGGTATGGGATATTAGGGTTCCTGGCAGAAACACTCAGTATTGTTAACATGTGGATTCTCTTCCAGTATTTCTATTGCTCTAATACAATTCCAGTCAAAATTCAAACAAGCTTATTTTTTTAAAAAGAAATTGACAAACGGATTCTAAAGAGTACATAGAAATGCAAGGGCCCTAAAAGACTAAGTACTCTCATGAGAGGAAGAACAGAGCTGACAGCTGAAAAGAGCCGCACTAATGAAACAAAAACACACAGTCTAGAAATAGACCCACACTTTCATGGCTAATGATTTTCTGACAAAGACACCAAGGAAATTCAGTAGGAAAAGGCCTTTTCAATAAATGATGCTGCAAAAACTGGATATCCATGTGGAAAAAAAGAACTAAATTCCTACTGCATGCCCTTCACAAAAACAAACTCAAGACAGATCACAGAACTAAAAGTAAAAGCTAAAACTATGAGGCTTATCAGGAGAAGCATATCTGCAGCCCAAAGCAAACAAAAATTTCTTTTTTATTTTCATTTATTTGAGTCGGAGTCTCACTCCGTCTCCCAGGCTGGAGTGCAGTGGCACAGCCACCACAGTCTCGATCTGCTGGGCTCAGGGGAATCCTTCTGCCTCTCAAGTAGCTGGGACTACAGGAGCACACCACCCCGCCCAGCTAATTTTTTGATTTATTGTAGAGACAATGTCTCACCATGTTGTCCAGGCTGGTCTTGAACCTCTGGACTCAGGTGATCCTCTCCAAGCGCTGGGATTACAGGTATGAGCCACTGTGCCCAACTGGTAAACAAAGATTTCTTAGGTGACGGAAAATTAACCATAAAAGAAAATTTTAAATTAATTTATAAATTAAATCAAACTTAAAACACACTGAACTGGGGGAAAAAAAACTATCACTCAATAAAAAGAAAAATTCAAGTTAAAAAACTGGAAAAGTCCACAAAAAATAAATGGGCAATCAACAAGGCTTGACATAATTAGCTCTCAGGGACATGCAAATTAAAACCAGTTCCACACACTTACTGACACAGCCAAGTGTCAGTGAGAACACTGAGCAACTGGTACTCCCATGTAAAGTAGCACAAATCACTCTGGGAGACAATCTGGCATCTTCTTAAAAAGCTGAACAGACAACAGTGATTTCACTCAGGGTTCTATCAGGGAGAAGTGAGAACCCACGTCCTAAAAGGGACTCGTGCAAGAACATTCACTGTGTGTTCATCACAACAGGCAAACTCGTGAAAGAAGCCAAAATAAGCCAGTCATCCAGAACTCTGGGAGGCTGAGGCAAAGGACTGCTAGAGCCCAGGAGTTCTTGAACAGCCTGGGCAACACAATGAAACCTTACTGCTACGAAAAAATGAAACAATTAGTGAGGGGTGGTGGCACATGCCTGTAGTTCCAGCTAGTAGGGAGGCTGAGATGGCAGATAGCCTAAGCCCAAGAGGTCAAGGCTTCAGTGAGCTATGACTGTGTCACTGCACTCCAGCCTGAATGACAGAATGAGAACCCAACTCAAAAAAACAAAACAAAACAAACCCAAATGAATAAACAAACTGTGCTATTAATGGACTATTAATCATTGATAAAAAGGCATGAACTACTAACACAACGTGGATGAATTTCACAGACACTATGAGAGCAAAACAAGGCAGACACAAGAGCATACACTGCATAATTTCATCTAAATTAAGTTTTATCACAAGCAAAGCTAACCGAAGGTGACAAGGAACAGGCCACCTGAACTTGAACATGGTGGCCCTGAACGGGGAAGCTGTATAAGGACACAAGCCTGCCTCTCCCAATGGCTGTCCATCTTTCGAAAAGGCCTGTCTTCTCCCCACCATGCCACCTCCGCAACACACTGCACATTCTACTCGACTTCACCGACCTGCTTATGTCCCACGACCTCACTGCTTTGGTTTCAGAGGCACAGTCTGCCTTCCGGCTTCAGGGCTGACCACCCCTGTCCACCCCGGCAACGGCCAACTTTGCCAGGTTTCCTGGCTATCTTCAGCACAGGCTCACCCCACCCCCGATACACTTTAGGGTCCACTCCTCCAGCATCTGGCGAAAACCTCATGATTTTTACAATTAGGTTGGCATTAAATTAACCTGAAAAGAATCAACAATTCTATGATGTTGCATTGTCCCATCCAAGGACAGGGAGGGGGAGAGAGAGAGGACTTTTTAATGTTAAAGTTAGTCAATGTCTGACCTGGAACTGGTGATGATGTCAAGTGGGATAAAGCATCCTTGGCCTGTTCTCCACTCCAAAGATACATCAAGCAAGATGCTAGCTTTTGAAAGTTCTTCACCTCTCTAATTAGAGTAAGCAGCCTAAATGCTTTTTGTTTTGTTTTAAATTAAGAGTCAATGTTGGATCTTATCAGTGTCTTGACAACTAACCAGAGAGTTTTTTTCTTCCTTTGACCTATTAGCATAATAAAGTAACTGTATTTAAAAAGCACATAATATTACATTACCCTAATATTTACCCTTGGACTAAGCCCTACCTGGTCATGGTATGCTACTCTTAATACGTTGCTGCATTTTATCCTGAACATTTATTTTTGTTTATCTGAGTCAGGGTCTCACTCTGTCACCCAGGCTGGAGTGCAGTGGCATGATCATGGCTCACCGCAGCCTCAACCTCCTAGGCTTAGGTGATCCTTCCGCCTCGGCCTCCTGAGTAGCTGGGACACCAGGCGCGCACCACTACACCCAGCTAATTTTTTAAAATTTTTATGTGTATAGATGGAATCTCACTATGTTGCTCAGGCTGGTCTTGAACTCCTGGCCTCAAGCAGTCCTCCCAGCTTAGCCTCCCAAAATGCTGAGATTATAAGCATGCGCCACCACACTTGGCCCATTCCGAACATCTAGAAGTTGTTCTATATTTTCTTTTTTCAGTGTTCTTTTAGTCAGGATCTGTTACCCGTAATTTGATTTAAACAAAAGTCTGGAAGGTTTCATACTTCATGTTCTGGAACAGTACTAGAACTATTTGTACTGGAAGGATCTGTTCTCTGAGGTTTCAAAGACAGTTGTGAAAGGTTTCTGGACCTTTCTTCTGGGTGTCAAGTTCTTTGACAATTTTTCCAACTTCTATCTATTGGGATTTTCCTTCCTCTGAGAATCAGCTCTTAGACTATTTACTCATTATTATGATTTTATCTATTAGATAACGCAAAGTGCTGGCCTAACAGTCATGGGTTACAGCACCTGGCCCATTATATAACTTTTACATGAAACTAAAAACTGTACTTACTAATAACTTACTGCATAAATTAAGGGCGTCGAAAACTTGTCATTCATTCATTAAATGGACCATGAATAGAATCTACTGCGAACTCAAATTCCATACCCTACCAAGAAAAAGAAACCCAACTGCCAAATGGCCACAAAAATGGAAATAACTGACACTGGGGACATCAAGAAGGGGGAGGTAGGGAGAGGGGCTTAGGGTTCAGAAATCGCCCGTTGGGTGCAGTGCTCTCTCGCTGGGGAATGGGCCACCTGAGACCCAATCCCCATCACTCCACCATGTGTCCATGGAACAACCATGCACGTGCATCCCTGAATCTACACTAAAAAGGGGAGAAAATTTAGAAGTTCCGCAATTTTTAGGAAAGATTCTCTATAACCACGTCTCATCAGTATTGTTTGGTGTTAACCAGGGTTTAAGCTGCTGCTACTCCTAAGAGTTTCATCATTTGTTTTTATTTTCCTCAATCATTTGATTTTTAAATCTCATCCTCACTGGAATACTAAGATAGAGACAGCTAAAAGAAACCAGGTGACGGTCAAACAAGTGAGAGAACCACTGCTTTGAGAGGCGCCTCCTGTGCTTCCTACGAATTACAGAGATGCCCCCAAAGGCCACTTTTAGAAATTTGCCTGCCATGATGAAACCGCTGTGTGCCACAGACAAACACGAGGCATTCATTCGTCACTTGAGAATCCTTAACAAAAGCTCTAGAAAGACCTAGGACAAGGCTATGAGAACTTAGGTGTGTTCAGAAACTGCCCACGGGGCACAGCGGCCACTATCTGGGGAATGGGCCTCCCGAGACCCAACCCCCCCAACACATGAAGTGCCACGGAGCCATCACGCACAGGTGTCAACCCAGGGCTGGATGGGCAGAGGAGTCCAACCAGCGCCCACGACTTACCACTTCACAGCCAGGTTCTGCACCTCCCCGTTTTTATCTTCCAGCAGCTTCAAGATCATCTTCACCACCTTCCTTTCACTGTCATCATCCAGCTTGATGGAATCTTTCTGCAGCTCCGTCATCAAATCATTTGTGGCCATAAACCTACCAAAAAATTAAATCTGCTGATCATTTAAAACTTTTACAGCATCAATGAAAAGGACAACTTTCCAGACCAGTGCCGTATCATTCACCCAACAAAAACACAGTGCATTTCACAGCTCATCCACTTTTTAAAAAGTGATCATAAATTCAAACTGAAAGCCACCAAAGGAAAGGGTCACACACTTAGAATTCATTGTATCCACAGAGACAGACAGATGGCTGTTTCTCAAGTACTGATACATTCTACAGGAGGTCCATTATCCAAAACTACCTCCCCCAGGTTGGTCTCCACTTCAGACCTACTAATAGGAGGACCTCCAGCGGATGTTCTTCCCTTCTCATTCAGCGCACCATGGCTTTCAGGGGAGAGCACTTCTCTACTTTTGCTTTGATCCCGGAAGCCTTTAACCACAAACATTAAGAACATCTTCCTTGCATAAAGCTATGTGTTGCACTGGGGGTCACATATCACAAATTACTGGACATTTTCCAAAATACAAATTATCACCTTAATTCCAACTCCCATCATTAGGTAGTCGATGGACTTTCAAAAGGGCAAAGATGTGTTTCTAGAGTTGCTCCACCTGATATCCACCCCTTTCCCTTTAAGAACCACTGCTACAGAAAAGTCTGGCACTGGACAGCCTGACAAAAACCCAGAGTGACCAATTCTCTGATCTCAGAGTCTCTGCTAAAATAAGGTAAACAGAGTCTCAGATTCCTCTCCCTTACCTTATCGATCAATTCACTGTTTTAAAAGGAATTTCTCAAAATGAGATAATTACAGAAAAAAAAGTCATAAGCCTTCTTTAAAAGCCAGACGAACTTCTCCTGTGATTCCTGGTCCCCATGGAAATAATCCGACTAGAGCAGTTACTTGACACCTTTTTCTTTTATTCAAACCAGATCCAGTCTAAGCAAAAATCCATTATTTCATACTGTATACAGACATGTCAAAATCCATGTTTAAAGCAAAAAGCACAACTGCTGGAGCTGGACTGGTCAACAGCTTTGAAGACTGCCCAGCAGTGTAGGCAGTGACCCACGTGGTACAGGCTGGCCAACAACTGAATTCAGCAGCTCATTACACACAAGGTGATTTTAAAAGTGATTCTAACAACTAGTATGTTCATCTAATGCTGAGGTGACAAAGTTTAAACCGCGTGCAAGCCTGCAGTTCGATTCTTACCAAGTTCAGTAAAACTGCTTATCAAGAAAAGCTCATGTTTACATTGGGGTCTATGAGATAAAGTGTGCGTGCACTTTAAAAATGGCCATAGTTGCCCTAACTGGAAGCCTCTCTCTATTTTAGAACACGATGACAAAAAATCAAAATGACATAATTTTCACGAATGTTCTACAAAGCGAAAAAAAACAGCACAGCACATTAATACAGGCACTTCTGCACATCAAGCACTGAAGTCATCTTAACCATTTCAAATAAAATCCATTAAATAACTATAATAGTTATGGTCTCCAAGAACCACTGCAATGCCAGTTATCTGCTTCAAAAAGAAACAGTGGACCAGCTTAGGCAACACAGCAAAAACCATCTGTACAAAAAATCAAAACGTAGCAGAGTGGTGGCGCGTGCCTGCAGACCCAGCTATTCTGGAGGCTGAGGTGGGAGGATTGCCTGCGTCCTGGAAGTTGAGGCTGTGGTGAGCCGTGATCGGTGCCACTGCAATCCAATCCGGGTGAGACCCCCAACTCAAAAAAAAAGAAGAAAAAGAGAAAAGAAACAGTGATAATCAATTCAAGTAAAAAACAAATAATTCCCAGCAAAAAGTTTTTGTTTCATGATTATGAATGGTTTTCCTGGCGCACAGATTTGTTCCTTTACTCATCCTTTATTCACTATCTATCATGCAAGAAAGCCTGGACTAAGACCTAAGGACAGGCACAGAGTGGCCGCTGTCCTCAAAGAGCATTTATTGCAATAAAGAGGTACAATGATTTTCAAAATACCACTCAACAGCCTTTTAAAAAGTTGAAACGAGCACTAGCAAAATCAGTGTATTTTTAAAAATCAGAAAAAGTAGACTGAGATATTGTAATACCAAGAGCTACTTCCCAATAGTGACCTCGACATCAAACAGTCCTGGGAATAATTTCTTCCTTCTGATCATCTGATATTAGATGTGCACCACCAAGCTCCTCCCCAAGTAAGTGGTCTGACCCGTCTGAGAACTGTCTGTGGTAGGCTAAAAGCCGGGTTGGCAACGCCCCTCTGGCATTTACTCTCTGGGGCGTGGTACCCAGGGCTGTGATGCCACAGACAGTCTCCTGCTAACTTCTTTGTCAAATGAGACAGAAACAGAAACAGATCTCAATCTCGTCATTTTCAGAAACCATACCCAAGAGCACATCGCAGTGATCAAACCCAAGAACCGACTGTCAGGTTGGAGCTCAAAGGGTGAGCAGGAACTTGAAGGGGAAAGCTGGCTGGAGACTTGGATGATTGTTCTCCTTCTCCTCTTCGGGGGTGGTGGTAGAGGAGGGCAGAGCACCTCCACGTGAGGCCTGTGGGACAGTCAGTGCAGCAGGAGCACAGACCCCCGGTGGAGAAGGAAGACCGGAGAAGGGTTCCCGAGGCCCAGGCTGAGGCCCAAATGGGAAGGGCCTCCACATCCCTGCACCACGGAGCGAGAACCTAGCACACACCAGGGACTGTGCTCGTCAGGTGGGTCCAAGGGCCACACGACGCGGACACGAGTTCGGCTGTCTTGGAGCTTCACCACAGCCAAGGAAGAGAAACACTCACCTTGAAAACTCCGTCTATGAGGAACGATTGTGTAACTGTGGACTGAGAGGAACGCTACGAAGGAAAGTGTCAAGAACACACAATGGCACAAAAAGTAGCACCATTCTCTAATGGGGGTATGTGCGGGGCAGACTGAGATCCAAAGGGTGGGCGAACGGCAGGCGAATGGGCAGCAGCTACTACACAAAAGCCAAGAATGTACGAGATATGCAGACACACCCAGACCTCGGTCTTCCCTCTCAGAGCTGGGAAGCCACCGCGACGCACCGGGAGAGATGGAGCAACCACAAGGAGATGTGTCCTTCAGAAACAGGACTCCAGCGACACTGGAGCACTCTTGAGAGAACCAGTCTTCTTGAAGCCAGACTGAGCAGAGCCCAGTGAGGAGACGCACTGAGCCGTGAACATGAGAAATAACAGCACCCTGAGTTAGGGTGACAGCAACCAACGACAATGGGAAAATGGACACAGAGCTGGTCCTCATGATTTGTGGGTTCCACATCTGTGGCTTCAGCTACTCATTAAAGTGCAGCTGTGACCCCCAAAGGAGCGCTCCCCGTTTCTCCATCACTTGCAGACAAGTGCAGAGCAGTAAACAACCGGAACCGGGTGACACACACAGTCCAGCTGCGGTGGGACAGGTGATGCCTTGCCTCCCGGGGCCAGCCTTCATGCTGCACACAAGCCTCTTCCCAGCCTACTGGAGTGCCATGTTTCTCACGTGTGGGTTTTTTCTTGGTGCTCTGGCTGTGTCATCAGGCTCTAGGTAGAGCGCTGAGGTGCTGCCTGGCATCCCCATGTGCGAGACTGTGATACCCCTTCTGGAAACACACGTGCGAGGCAAGCTTCGCTCAGGCCCATGTTACAGCACTACTGACTGAATTCAAGGTCAGGGAGTCAACGACATAGACTACATAAGTGTTCTGTCTTTAACAGAAACACACGTGCAGCAAGACTATGAAGGCATGAACTGACGAGAATGCTGTGGCCAGGCCTCACAGGAACCTAACTCTGCCATTCTCTCAGAAGAAAGGGTTCAGCACGTGCTAGCTCAGCATCCGCCATACCTTTCTAGAACACAATGACTACAGATGAGCACCAACTCCTAAAACTTCACACTGAACAGTTTAAAAGTTTATTAGTTGTGAGATTGATTAATAAACATCCCTTCTTCAAAATGGGCTAGGCCCAGGAAGGGTCAGGGATGAGCTAGGAGGAAACCCCTAACCCAGTGCACCAGGCAGCCAATGTGTCCAGTCCAGGATGCTAGGGTGACCGCGCAGCCTCTGCCATGTCAGGTGGCTCAACCCCTCACCACAGGAGAAAGGAGGAACTCTGCTTAAACTTAAAACTACACTGAGTGGATGCTCCTCTGATCTCACGCGATAACATCTCAGCCAGAGCGAACAGGTAAACACCATACATGAATGTCCTACAGCCCAACTTCGTCTGCTCTTGGCCAAAAGCGGGCACTGAGAGCGAAAAAGACAGCAGCCTCTGCCGTCCATATGCTGCTCTGGGCCTCAAACCTAAACCTCAATGTCACTGCAAACCGATCGGACGCTCAACAGCTGAAGCAGACTGTTCTCTTGGACCACAATCATCTCAGAGAGTATCCACTTCACACGAGGTCACTGAGCAACACAAAATGCAAAATACCAAACATCCCCCTCTCCAATTAGACAAGTGACTACTACTTCTTTGCCAATTACTGCCTTCGGTATAAAATGAACTAAGTTGCAAATCACAGAACCGCCTCACTTTCTGACAACATGCAATCTACCGAAAACTCTGCTTCCTTAGACCCTCCCAAAATGACCCCAACATCCTTCTACTGAGACACTGTAGAGCGTGTTCTCCCTCGCTGAGTAGTAAACCCAACTGTGCCAGGAATGCCTATATAAGAGAATTTCAAGAAGGAAAAGGGGATAACTGTGCTTAACTATTAAAAAGACGGTCAAAGAAAATATCCACCAAGTCAGAGGCTGCCAGGGGTTCGAGGCAGAGCAGCTACAGGAAGCTCAAGGGGCAACAGCTCAGGACACTGAAGTTCATCTCGCAGTCAGTGGGAATTGGTGCGGGAAGCGATGGGCAGCTGGGATACCTAGGAAGAAAATTCTAACGACCAGAGTGAACAAGAGACTGGACTAGGAAGAGGCCTGAGATAGCAAGACTAATATGAGAAACATTCATCAGGAGACTAAAGGAGAGGTGAATAGTCGAAGGTTTTCTGCTTGGGACTTTCAGCGGATATTAATTTAACCGGCCGAAACAGGGATAAGGAAAGCTTAGGGTAGGAAAAGGAGAAGACGAAAGGTTAAGTTTCAGACTCCTCTGGAACTCCCAGGTTGGTGTAACTTGCAGGTAGCACCATCTCATTCATTTATTCAACAAGTATTTGGGGGCACTAGCCTATGAAACTAGCCTGCAAACACAGTGATGATGAGACATGCTCTGGAACTCCCATACCTGGTTTATCCTACTGGACTGATTAGGGAGGACAACTTACTCATCTTTAGTAAATCCAACGTAGAGAAACAAAAATAATGGCAGAGACAGGCACCTAGCACTGCACAGTAACTCTTCCCACCCATACAGAAACACAACCATGCCTGGCTACCACCCACCCTTCATACAGAAACACAACTTTACCCGTGCTTACAAGTGAAATCTTGGTGATACCGTCACCTTCATCACCCAGTAAAGCAATCATCTTGAACGATATCGCACACACACCACTGTCCCACTTTTTTGAATTTATTTCTCAGAGAGCTATGAATTAAGCTGGAACAGTTTATGTTTTGTTTGTGTAGAGAAAACTAGTTTCTTTCTTCCCACTTTTCCTTAGTGAGGTCTCTCTTTTTTGGATGGTGGGCCCTAATTATTGCTGAAAATCAGTTCACAGTATATCGAACACAAGAAAATCACCTAAGTAAAATCAAGTTAAGTGACTGTCATCAACTCGCAAAGCATTTTTAAAAACACCCAGAAGTCACCTTCTTAATCTCAGCAAACCTATTTCTTTTGCTTAAGCTTGCTTTTCCGCAAGCACAAGTGGTCAAGATAATTTCACGTGCTGCTTCCTGTTATGTCATTGCAAATGCCCACACAGTGCTTTCAGCTATGTGATAGGATCTGTAGGGCTCCCTCCAGTTCTGAACCCTATGATTTTTATTAGCCTGAGACTCTTATTAGCATTTTAAACCTTTTCTGAGAGAAAATACCTTCCAATGTCCAAAACACCTAAAAAAAGAGATTTGGTACCATAATCCGTTACCAAGCTGGGAAATGCTAGGATTCTACAATGCAGTTGATTATTTTAAAAAGATTATATCAAGTGGTATTTAAATAAATAATTGACTTTACAATGGTTTCTTGAAGGTTCCTAAAATCCCTATATACTTTTTTCCTGACTCTTGAATTGAGATGCAATTCAAACAAGCATCTACTGAGAACCCACAGGCCAAGAACTCGGCAGAGCAAAGGATTCCATTCAGTACCAAAGTCCCCACCCCTCCAGAGTTCCATGGCCCACATCCACCCACCCAGCGCAGTCAAGGTTCACTGTCCCCTCCCCCAGAGAAGGTTTGAGGTGTACTTTTCTACTTGCATTCCTTTTCTTTACCTCGAATCTCATTTTTATTTTTTTATTTTTTAAAATTTTTGAGTTGGAGTCACTCCATCGCCCAGGTTGCAGTGCAGTGGCACACACTCACGGCCACCCCAGCGTCGACCTGCTGTGCTCCGGCGATCCTTCCATCTCAGCCTTCCAAGTAGCTGGAACTACAGGCACATGCTACGACACCCGGCTAATTTTTGATTTATTGTAGAGCCGAGGTCTCACTAAGTTGCCCAGGCTGATCTTGAAGCTGCAGGCTCAGGCAATCCACTCGCCTCAGCCTCCCAAAGTGCTAGGATGACAGGCTGAATCTC